ACTGTATAGCGATACACGAAGAAGTGTAAACTATTATTGTGACTGGGAACTTGATTTGCTGTGTAATTCTGTTGTGTGCTGTCCAGACGTGACAATATATTCTCAGCTTTAATGTTACTTGGTACTACTTTTGTTAATAATTTAGTAAATAAAACACTTTTATATGTAGAAACGATTGACAATTATTTTCGGATTTTTTTTTTTATTTTTAAAATTTTTAATAAAGTGCTCATAATTAAAGTTATAGGTATTGTTATTTGCTACAATTTCATAAAAGATAGATTTTTTCACTTTTTTCTAACGTCTGAACTAATTTTATGCTTTTATACTGTATGATTGCGATTTTTATACATCATCAGGAAATTTCGAGAGGCAAAAATTTCCGAAAATTTCCGCAAAATTTTTTCAAATTATTTTTACGATTTTACTGAAAACGTTACGAAAAATTTGCGAAAATTTGCGGAAAATTTGTGGAAATTTGCGCAAATTTTCGCCCATTAAAATTTTCTGATGCATAGGTAAAAATTTTTTCCATTATAAAAGGTTTGTTCAAACAGAAATATTAAAGTTTTATGGTTCAATATTTATTATATTAAACATTCAATATTCATATACAGCATGTAACTTTTCAAAAAAAAAAAATAATGAAACGAAATGCCGTGATAACTAAATTTATGCCTGCATTGCATCCATCGTTATCAGTCAAAGTATTTTTGATATTTTATTATTTCGATATAATGGATAATATAACAAGGAAGGACTATATATCGAGTAAGACAAATACAAGAATTCCAAAAAATAACAACGAATATAAATATTGATTATGAATCATCATTTTTTTCTTATTTTATTTTACTAGTTTCTACATATAGATATGAACAGGGAATATAGTTATGAACGGATATAAACATTTATAAAGTTTTATTGGTCTAAATTATTTATAGTAATTAGTTCCGACTTGGAATACTGCACACAACAAAATTGATATTTTTCTTATTTTAAGCCAGTTAAATTTTTTTCCTAATAAGATTTTATTAAAGTTTACCACGAAAAACAGTATTAGGAATATTCCGAAAATACATGCCGAAAGGCAAGGAAATTAAAGGTAAAATGAAACAATAAAAATAACCAATGGTTGTAAAAAAAATTAATTCAATAGATTCGGGGTCACATTATAAAAAAAACGTATTGCAGAGCACAACATAAAAGTTTTAATATAAGATTTTATTCAATTCTAAAAATTCGCATAATCGGATAATTACTTATTAATCACTTAAATTACTATAATTACTGTAATTAATATTAAGGTAAATAACACAAAATTTTTGATTACATTGACTAAATATATCTTGATATTTTGCTTTGAATAAGTGACATTGGCTTTCTCTAGTTGCCAAGAGTGTGCGAAATAAAATATCGGGGAATACGTATTCTTTATCAACAAACACTCGCATCAAGACGGTACAATGCATAATAATACGCAACTTTTTGAGAAAACAAAAATCAACAAATGACCCCAAACTTTATTTAATTGTCTTTCCAATATTAAAAAAGAAAGAATTGTCTTGTTTGTAAAGAAATGAACAGATGAAATTAATCACTGTGAAATAATACTTTTGAAAAGAATTAAAAATCAAGAAAAAAAATGTTAAAGTAAAATAATTAAGAACCTTGTAACGATATATTAATATTAAGAATTCTGACACAAACTTGTAATTAATAATAAGGAATATGAAAATTTTAATTTAAACAATGTTGAACATTGCATTTTTTTTTTTATCGATTACTTTTTCCCTCTGGATAAGAGAAAAAAGAATAAAGCTTTAGTTACTTGATTTTGTTTGTTAATTTTTCTGGATTCCTTTTCTTGGAGATATTTTTGTTACAACTAATCAAGTTTTCTTTCAATTATTAATTTAATTGTTTCCTCTTGACAATTCACAATATTATAAGTTACGACATTCAGATGTTAAATTTACAATATATACAATACGTTAAATCGGAGTTATAAAAATGGCTTAGATCATTAAACTGTAGATGCTTCAAATTCTTATTCCAGAATTGATTTGAGTTCAACATAATTGTAAAGAAGAAGTATTTCAGAATAATAAAAAATAAAGAAAATTGTATACAATAATAAAACCGACGAAATCATAAAAAAAATTTCCGCTCACAAAAATAGATGGATGTGATGATGAGTTGTTGCGGATCTTAAATTTTACCGAACTTGATCAGGTGGATCACATGCCATAAATTAAAGCCAATATTCAGCCTAAAACGGCGTCAATTGGTCAGTGTCCATCACGAGATTTTCCGCTGACTGTGGCCTTTCAAAATCGCGAATTTTTGTTTATACGACGAAGAAAAAAGGTAAAAACATGAAAAAATACATTAAATAGATGTCTTAACATATCTAGGTGCGTTAATAAAAAATGTCGGGGAGGCAATTTTGCATATAATATCTACTTAAACCCTAACCCTAACCTGCCCTCCTCTAACATTCATTAGTTTCGGGGAATTATATGATGGACACGGCTTTAGCCATCCCTATATATAGCATGAAAATATTCATGCCAAAAATCACAAATTTATCTGATGCACAAAAAAATTTATTATAGTACACCTTTTCCCTAAACGAAAGAATTCAAAAATTCTTACTTAAATATGTCATCTTTTAACAATATTAATTACCAAAATACTTTAAACGTACAAATTCCATTTACTAATAACAACCAAAACACTGTAAACATAATAAAAATCCCATTTCCACCATCTATCAGAGAAGATGAGATCGTATAATTAAATTTAGAAAAGGGAATTAAGAGCGTTAACCAAACTATGAACGCATTTATGATTTATCGAAAAGAATTTAATCGTATAGTTACAAATTATAATCTTGAACTTAAAAATATATCTAAATATGCTAGCATTTCTTGGAAACAAGAACCACAATACGTGAAAACATATTACAAGCAGTTAGCTAAAAAGGTTAAAGAACTTTTTAAAGAAAAGGTTTCTTCTCTTTGTTTCATTCACAGTAAGCAAGTACCTAGTACAAATGACAACAATGTCTCTTTAGACACCTTAATTCTCAATTTCCCAATATGAATCAAAACTTCCCTTCACCTTCTGACGATCAAAACTTCCCATATGCTACCTACTCTAATTATCCACTTCTTAATATGAACATTCTTGTATCTGATAATTTTGAAAATTCTATTCAAGCATATATGAATATGGATGACGAAAAACTCATGAGTTATCTTTCCGAAGATTTGGCTTTAACTTATAGAGAAATCATAAAATCATTACCATTTTAATGATTTGCATTAAAGATTAAGTTAATAATAAATTATTAGGTCGCTATAAGTATAGTCAAATCGTTCACTGTATTTTTATTCATAAAATTCATAAATTATAATATAATTGTTACATTATTTGAAATAACAATTAATTTTTTATTATGATTATAATCCCATTTTATCAATACTTTTTTTAGAAATAATTAAGTTCTTCTGTTATAGGAAATTAATTGATAAGTTCTCTCGAATTTAAACTTTTTATACGTTTTATATCTTTTCTTTTTTTCTGTTATATAAGATGATTCATTATTTTATTTAAATTAAAATGATTATTAAATTGATAAATGCCAACGAGCATAAACAAAATTCAACTTCTAATTGATTGCCCATGAAATTTTTACGATATTTTGTTTTTCTTATTTATTAATAAAGTTTATTTCTAAATTATCTATCTATACAAAGGAAATGAATTAATTACTAATATAAAAGTAATATTTGTGAAATAATAATTTACTTTATGAAAATTATTGCCCGTGAAAAATATCAGCCGTGAAAATTATGAAGGTATCGACGATTGAGAGGTTAATATCCTGGGTACTATTTTGATATTTTCTGGGATATACCATTCAATGCAATTTATCTCTTTGAGGAATTACGTAATAATGATATTTCCCAAAAATTAGACTCCGATAGTAAACCCGAGAAAATATCAATGTATAAGATCACGAATGGACGACTAGTAAACGGGGTATATATGATCAAGAAAATAACTATTACATAATATAAAGATTCTTTAATACAGTATTAAACTTTAAATTTTTAGATCTCTTACATTTCTATAATAAATTTAATAGATCCCTTTGGTTAATGTTGTTTTTCAGTTTCAAGAATACCAGATAATAATAAATTATTAATGAATTATCCAGCGTTTTTTTCAATAATGCTTGTAAGAAAATTGATTATATCACGCTATTTATTGCAATAAATGAACTTTGTAAGGGTGAATAATCGGAAAATTGACATAATATAAACCGGCAATATCTCGTTAATGTACGCATTTAAATTATTTTGTCATTCTAATTGTTTTAAAAATATGTTATTTCCCAAAGACTTTCCAAAACCTAGAAGTTTATCTAGACATATTTTTCATTAGATGATATATTTTTTTTTCGCTTTTTCTGATGTCTGTCTGAATAAATTTGAATCCTTGCGCTGATTTTATATGCTGCACGTTTGCGTAAGGTGAAAAATGTAATTTTATAGAGATAAAAAATTTTCCATAATAAAAGGTTCGTTCAAATGGAAATACCAAAGTTTTCTGGTTTACATATAGTACCCTAATTCGAGACCGCTTGTAATGATATTTAATATTTTTATTATTTTTTTCAAAAAAAAAAATCAATGCCGTGATAACTAAATTTATACCTGCATTACATCGCATCGTTATCTGTCAAAAATTATTTTTTAATTATTGATGTTTTTATTATTTTCAATATAATGAATAACATAACACAGTAATAACAAAAAATAACAACAAATATAAATATTCGAGAATATCATCGAATCCCGGTAAATTTATTGAATTTTTATTGAATTTAACTGTAAGGCTGAATAAAAAACAACCATTTTTTGGTTATATTTGTATAGCTCCACTTACTAGTTTCTACACAATGTTTTAGCGGTCCGACTTGGAGTCAAAGTCAAGCTGGTATGTGACATTAACTTTCATCAACCCTATCAACCCCTTGTCTTGGCCTCATTAACTCAGAAGCCAAGTCAAACATCAAACCGATGACTTGAAACTCTTTAGTCGAATCAGTTCAACCCCATCGGTCCGGTTCGGTCTAACGCAGCTTAGCTTATACTCCCAATACCAATCTATATTACTAAAATTATTCATTGTTTTGAGTTATTTACTTGTGTGCTGAATAATACATTATTAATACATATTTGATATGCCATTATGAATGCACATTTTTATTTATTTATTTCTCTGTTGTGTTTTCTATATTATTTAATTAATAACAAAATTTTATTGTGATATTAAAGGTGCGCAGAGGGCTCATTTTGAGACTTAAAGCAACTAAGTTAGCAAAATGACAACTGAGAGCTCATAATGCCAACTTAAAGCTCATTTTGACATCTAAAGACTAAATTGACAACGTGTACGAATTGTTATAAAGGAGAAATGAATTCTCTTCTCTTGAGCTAAGGCAGATATATCACTCTTAACATTTTAATAAGTTATTTTGACATATAACTGAAGTGAATAGTTTTGGATAATTTATTGCTTTGTTATTAAATTGTTATTAGACTTTCATTATTTGGTTTCACCTAAGCTCTTACATTTTTTATTAATCACCTGGAGTTAAACCAAAATTGAACTAATTTTCGTAGCTCAGAATCTAGTTATGAACGGAAATTAATATTGATGAATGTAAATGAAAATGGATTGATAAAATATGAAAGAATAGGTTTTATAAAGTTTTATTGGTCTAAATTATTTATAGTAAAGTATAATGGTAAAAAAATCGGCAAGAATATTACACACGACAAAATCGAACTACAGATTTTCACGAACCGAAAATGCATGCTGAAAAATAAGGAAATTAAAGGTCAATACAGATTGACGGATCATCTTTTTTGTTTATTGTTAAAGATACCATATTCATCTATCTTGTCAAGAAAACTACCCGACCCGACTATGAACCATTTAATGTACAATTTTTTTTTATGATTGTTAATTATACTAATATGTAATTATGTGATTTTGAATAAATGAAAGTATTGTCAATAGTTTAAAGAATTCTAGAAAATAGTTAAAATTCATATTTCCGTTAAATTGTCATCGAAAGGTAATAAATAATTATTCATCAGTGAATAAATGATATAAAGTTTTTTGAATTTCATATAATTGATTTATATAATAATTAAAATATACTCCTTTTTTTGTGGTTTTATTATTTTATTTTTATTATTTGTTATTATCAAAAATCTATCAAAAATCAATTAAAAAACTCGCACGCCACGAGAAAATTTCCCATCATTTAATAGAGATTATTAATTAAAAAAATAAAAATGAAGATTCGTCTCAGTACCTATCTTGTGTAAGAAAAAAATTTTTCTTTTCCGCACAAAGAGAAAAGAAATGAAGTCGAAATTTGTTAGTTTTTTAAAAAATTATGTCATCAAACGTATCAAAAATCATTTTTTTTTATCTTCAAAAAAATATATATATATTTAAACACACCTTATTCCTCTATCTCCATCTCTATATTTTTTAATTAACAAATATGTATTTATATTTATTTGATTTACTATTATTTATCAATATGTCAACATGTATATAATTCAAATAATTTTAAATAAAGTAATAAATAATAAATAAATAGTAGATATAACAATAAAACAAAAAATGACGGCAACACCACTAACCATATTTATTAATATTATTAATATAACTATTCAATTAACGAATTAAAAATGAATATTCGTCATCATCATCAATATCTATCTTACGTAGCGTAAAATAAAATTTTTTCGTTCCACTTTTTTTTTTATCTATCATTATATTAGTTATTATATTAGGAAATATAAATTATGCAATAATATGTAAATGTTACAAATAAATAAAGATTAGAATTATAATAATAATGATGTACAGAGCTTTCTGCTATTGTTATAACACAAACAATTATAATTGAGTCACAATATCAGGTCATTATATTAGGAAATATAAATGAATGCAATAATAAATATGAAATAGGAGATTAAATAAGGAAATATAATACTAAATATGTAAATAAGAGATATAAATAAGGAAATATAAATGAATGCAATAATATGTAAGCGCTATAAATAAGTAAAGATTAGAAATATGAATAAAGAAATAAAAATTATAATTATAAATAAATAAATAAATCAAGATATTATTTTATACTAGTTTCTTTGCTTAACTTTAGAATTTGATAAATTTGATGATTTATAATTTGATTACAAATTTGGATCACAAAAAAAAAAAACAAAACAAAAAAATGGAAAAATGAAGATTGAAAAGCGGTTAGATTTGCTTGTATGTATCGCGCGAATTATTATTCTTTTAAATAATTTATTTTTTATTTATTAGTTATTTATCCCTCTACTATATTTATATTTTTGCATTTTTGTTTTTATATGTATTCTTTGTATTTATATTTTAGCTCTAATCTATATTTCTATATATTTTATGAATTTTTATTTATACATTAATCTATATTTCTATAGATTTTATGAATATTTATTTATACATTAATATAATTAACCAACATGCGTTAATAGTATAAATAATTATTAGACGTATAATCCTTTTTCAAAATAATTTTGGACCTTCTTACCAAAAATATTCAAAATAATTGACTTATAAAATTTTTATAATAGTATAGGCAATTATTATAAGAATGTAATCCTTTTTCAAAATAATTTTAGACCTCCTTTGTTAAGTACGTATAATATTATTTAATTAATGCTAAAAATAATCTATCACATTTAAATAATGGCACCCATTCGAAGGATGCTTTAAATCTACGAATAAATTCCCAGAGATTAAGGAAATTGGCGTGCTGTTACCCTTCTAAACCTTTAACTTTGTAGAAGGATGATGGTTACTTAAACTTAAACTATTAGACTAATCTACTACTTTAAAGGATCATACAATACAAAATAAAACTTATAATTATTAAACTAAGAGGGATTTGGGTAAAGGAATTATATTACGGTCAGTTACGAAAGAGGCGATTTAACTATTAACAGTGGTATGAAGACTTGTTAATAGGTGGTGTATCAATTATCAAATAACACTTTAACAAATTAGAAATGTAATGCGAAAGATTGTTTTATTACAATTCTAAAACTCAGAACTATAAAACATAACGAACTAACTGACTCTAACTGTTGAGACTTGGAAGAAATTCCAGCCTTTATACACATTATAATTTTATCAGTAAATTTTAAGAGTGAATATATCCAGATATATCCGGATA